GGTATGTGTGTGCGGGCCCGTGTGTGTGTAAATGTGGTATGTGTGTGCGGGCCCGTGTGTGTGTAAATGTGGTATGTGTGTGCGTGGGTGTGCGTGGGTGCGCGTGTGGTTGTACGTGCGCATGCCCGTATGTGTCTGAATACGGTGTGTGCGTGCGTGCGCGCGTGTGCAAATATTTGACAACGGGAGGTGTAACCGTGCCCGCGCTTACCCGGCTTACCCAATGCTCTGACAATTTTAGACGCCGTTTCGATTGTCTAAGAGCACACACATACCACACTATAATATATACCATAACCTTTTGAAATTGTGTTAAACTATTAATGTGTTTTCTCACGGGTTTTAATGATAAATACTAAGCTATACTAAATGTAGAATAAAGGTATAATAATAAGCATTTAATTAGGTGGAGCCTTCACCTAGCATAGTAAGCCACACTAAACGCACGCACGAACGCACGCACGCACGCACGAACTCACGCACGCACACCGGCACGCGCACACACGCACACACCAAAGATATTGCGGCTGCGGTGTATAAACAGCCACTCACTTCCGCGCACAGTTGTGAGGCGAAAATTTAAGACAAACCCCAACGAGAGACGGCTGCAGTTGTATGTGTGTGTATGTGTATGTGCGTGTGTGGGTGCGTGTGCGTGTGCGTGTGCGTATATGTATGTATGTATGTATATGCGTGTGTATGCATGTGCGTGTGCGTGTATGTGTGTGCGCGCCCGTGTGTGTGTAAATTGGTATGTGTGTGCGTGGGTGCGCGTGTGATTATGCGTGCGCATGCCTGTATGTGTGTGAATGCGGTGTGTGCGGGCGTGCGCGCGTGTGTGTGATGTGTGTGTGTGCGCGCGTGTGTGTGCAAATATTTGACAATGGGAGATGTAACCCTGCCGGCCGCCGTTCACTGACTTTCAAGAAAATGCTTCTAACCAGAATAATATTTTCAAAAATAATATCTAAATAAGTGAAATTGTACTATGAAATCACCCGATTTCCCTTTTTTTGAAAAATTGTATGTAATTTTAATGTAAAATTTCAGATTTTATATCTATTAAGATACAATTTTTTTAAACAAATATTGATATATGACTCCAGTCTAAATATCACTATTTTTCGTTTACTGTAAATACATCCTCAACTAAGAGTGAGAGATAAAATTAATGGTTAAACCGCCATCCTCAAATCAGACCCCACTCAAACCCGTCTGGAGGACAGGTAATAGCTAGTATTATTTATTTACAGTTTGTATTAAGAAGTAGAGTAGAGTCTTAGTGAAATAAAATCTAGTCCGGGAATTGGTAAATATTGTTGATATAAAGGCAAGATATACAACAGTTGAAATAGGCCAAGTGGACTGGTTATATGCAGTGTCGGATCCACCTGTTATATGCAGGTTATATGCAGTGTCGGATCCACCTGTTATATGCAGGTTATATGCCTGAACATTTCATGTGATGCGCGTATAAATAGATCGAATCACAACCCGTGGGTCTCTGGCTTTGACACCTACACGTTACATGCTAGCGTATGTGCAGGGACAACCATGAACGCTTGGGGTAATCGCTTTGCTATGGGTCAGACAGAAAGCTTAGTAGAAGTAGCGTGAGAAAGTAAACAATATCCGCTGAAAATAGTAGTTGAGTTAGGTGAACGAACGGCAACCCAAACTGTTTACTGCACCCAACGTAGTCTATATTCGGTGAGCCTGCTTCGCGTAAAGCGCAGGTGTGGTAATATTGAGCTTCCTTCTTCTTTGCGAACGCTTCTGAAAACGCCAAGACGTGTCACGGTGTGACTATCAGTATCAGTAGAAAATCATCAATGGATTTTATTATATGTTAGCGCATTTTGCTTGAATCTGATTGGCCCATAATATGGCATTTGGAGGTTCGTACCTCATGCCGAGTGGACCGCGCGTGTCAAACGAGTACACCTCGCGTGAAGAAAGTGGGTGTGTGAGCGCTGGCCAATCGAGCTACCGCTTCTATATCGAAGATTAGCAGCCAATCAGATAGATATATTATAAAATACTATAAATATAATAAATATAAATATAAATATAAATATAAATATAATAAAATAAATAATTTAGAAGATAAATATATTATTATTTATTTGTTGTTATTTTTTAATAATTGTTTATTTATGTATTATTGTTTATTTATTAAATGTATTATTAAATTATTGACTAACAAATTCTATTTTTTTTATTTTTTTTATTAACCATATAATAAAACGGTTATCGACCTGTGATGAGGTCTACACGTGACTATACGGACCTATACGTATCGACCTCATCACAGGTCGATAATTGTATAATGTTTACTTCGGACTGAGCAAAATGATCGGGCAACATCTTAATATGTAAGCCACAGAAAAGCTAAAATCGCATAAAAGCACTGAACTTTCTTTTAACATTGATGGAATTCCAAGTTCCAAGTTCTGACAAGGCGTGTTGCCCCGTGTTAAATTTATTGGCCCGTGTTATGTTTAATTGCACACCTTCAAGTTAACCCTGTTTTTGCCATTGTTCTCGCAAATCCGTGGCGGACAACAAGCCTCAAGACATGGAATTTCTAAATAAAACTGTCACTAAATTAATCTGACTCCTCGAAAATGGGCTAAAATACATTAAAAGAGCAATTAGCATATCGGTGCGGTGTTTCATGCGCGATACTCCTGCGCGGGCTATGGTAAAAACGTTAAATTGTAGTCTGGCTACTTAGTCAGGTGTACAGGCGCTCTAGACTGTTCGTGAGACACGTCGGGAGATGCCGACTGTGTGTAGCATCGTGATCGTATAGGCGGTGAATTAATCTCTACTTGCGGTGTTATTGTTCTTGCGTTGTGTCATAACCTGTTCGCTATTGTGCTGGCGTAAACGTTGCCTGTTTGAAGGAAATCGTCAGCCGAGGTGTCGATGTGTCCGATGCGGCGCAAGACGAGTAAATTAAACACGAGATAGAAGAATGAAACACTACTTATAATCTTTATTCACGTGCGCACCAATCACGTCCTAGTCGTACAAGTAGTTAGAAGAAATCACGTAAAGATGCTACTTGGTGTAGATAACTATGTGGCTACAACGGCGAGTATAAGTATAAGCCGCACGACACGTCGGAAGTAGAAAGGAGGAAAAAAAGTGTTTTTTCTAAGGGAGGACTTTTATAATTTTATGAGTGGCTTCAAACAGGCGTAACTGGGCGTAACTACACTTGACTGGTGGTCATTTATTCTTTGTGACAAGGCGAGCGCCTAATCGTTTTGGCGCTCTAATTTGAAGTACACGCGGGCAATGGGGATTTATGAGACAGGAGATAATTAAGTATTAGGTGGTAACTAGCTGACACGTGGAACTGGTGTCCCTATACACCAACTAAACACCTTTATGCTTTAGTAGGCTTTACTATTTAGCTTTACCCATCTACTGGACTGTCCTGTCTCACTTAATTAATGTTAGATCTAAGCACCTACACTAAATGAATAATATCTCAGAATTAGATTCCATATGGATATACCACTTCTTGCTAGTTCTTTAACCAAGTTGTTTTCTACACTTTCTCCTATTCCACTATTCCATTAAAAACAGTTCAGGACTGCACTGGTTAATTTGTGTCTTACCACCTTTACACTTCATCGCAGGTTTAGCTACCGAGTTGCGCGTTGCACTTGGCAAAGCGGGTGGAGCATTGGGAAGCGGTGGTCCCCAGGCATATTTAAGTGGATGTGTCCATGCTTTGGCAATCCTCCAGGCTTAATCACTTTATTTGTCCCCTTTCCGATTTGCTTCCTGGCCTTGGACTTCAGCTTTTGTGCTATTACTTCAGTATTAGGAAAATAACCCTTTTCAGCGATCTGTTGGACACTGCTGGCTTGCGAGCCAACTCGACTGGAAGCAACTGGCTGCAATTCACTGCGACTGCAGTGCTTAGGTCGGTCGACTGCGACGCAACTGCCTGCGACTGGCCGCCACTAGTTGCTCGGAATAGAACAGTGGGCAAATGGACGCAACTAGTCGCTGCCGATCACTTCCAGTTGCTTAAAATCCAGTTGCTTCCAGTCGAGTCGGCTCGCAAACCCGACATAAGCCAGCATTTACAGAAAATGTGAATACGTGGAGAACAAAGCTGTTCGATTTCGATTTGTCATGCACTATATTAACATCGCAATCAACTCTACATGCCTTCGTGAACATCAGTGTGCATTTTAGGTAGGTGAACCTCACTGGACCCTCGCAACAGAAAGACGCACAGTGCGTGCCTACAGTTGGGGGAAGAATGTAAAACCTGCATGCTGCCTGTTCACGTGGGGACGTTGAGAAAGTGTTAAAACTTCTGCGAGGTGGAGCAAAAACATCGCGCGTGAACGTACGCATGGAGACGCCTCTCCACGTCGCCTGCGCACTTTCGCGGGACAGGACGGAAGAGAAGATGGAGATTGTGAAACAGCTGCTGCTGCATGACGCGCCCCTGCAAAAGAAGGATAAGCGCGGGCGAACGCCTCTCATGCTCGCCTGCGAAACAGCCAGCGCGGATGTTGCAGCCGCGCTGCTAGACAATGGAGCGGACCTCCGCGCGTGTTACCGTGGCGACGGAACAATGCAGCACGCAGCCGTGGCCGGCGGGAACGCGCGGGTCTTATCGCCGGCTTGCTCTGGCCAGCTGAACATCATGCGCCTGCTACTGGAGGCCGGCGCCGACCCCAACGTCGCCATGATGAACAGTAGAGCGACGCCGCTGATGATGGCGGTGAGTAAGGGCGAGGAGGCGGTGGTGCAGATGCTGCTATCACACGGCGCTGACCCCAAAGCCGCGAACTCGCACGGACAGACCTCCCTGTACTACGCGGCTAGCTCTGGCCAACTGGACATCATGCGCCTGCTACTGGAGGCCGGCTCCGATCCCAATGTCGCCGAGACGAAGAGGGGAGCGACGCCTCTGATGCAGGCAGTGAGTAAGGGCGAGGAGGCGGTGGTGCAGATGCTGCTCTCACACGGCGCCGACCCCAAAGCCGCGAACTCGCACGGACAGACCTCCCTGTACTACGCGGCTAGCTCTGGCCAGCTGGACATCATGCGCCTGCTACTGGAGGCCGGTGCAGACCCCAACATTGCCATGACGAACAGTAGAGCGACGCCGCTGATATTGGCGGTGAGTAAGGGCAAGGAGGCGGTGGTGCGGATGCTGCTCTCACACGGCGCCGACGCCAACGCCGCGGACTCGCAAGGACAGACCTCCCTGCACATCGCGGCTCGCTCTGGCCGGCTGGACATCATGCGCCTGCTACTGGAGACCGGCGCCGACGCCAACGCCGCCGATACGGAGAGCGGAGCGACGCTGCTGCTGATGATGGTGAGGGAGCGCAAGGAGGCGGTGGTGCAGATGCTGCTCTCATACGGCGCTGACGCCAATGCCACGGACTCGCACGGACAGACCTCCCTGTACCACGCGGCTTGCTCTGGCCAGCTGGACATCGTGCGCCTGCTACTGGAGGCCGGGGCAGATTCAAACGTTGCCGATACGGAGAGTGGAGAGACGCCGCTGATGAAGGCGGTGAGAGAGGCCGATGAGGCGGTGGTGCGGATGCTGCTCTCACACGGCGCCGACCCCAACACCGCGGACTCGTACGGACAGACCTCCCTGCACATGGCGGCTCTTTCTCTCCAGTTTTGCAAGCCCGCCTTCATCGCGCGCCTGCTAATGAAGTACGAAGCGTCGCTATATATATCCGACAACGTCGCCGAGACGGAAGAAAGTGAAAGTTTCCCCGCATTAGCCTACTCCTGGGATCAACTTCTAACCGAGGTAAAACTACGGGTGTACGTTGCGAATGATTGAGACCGAATTTTAGCAATGTCCTAATGTATTTTCTTATAGATGGTAAAGGTAATCAGTAATAGTAATCGGTTAACAGTTATTAATCGATATGTTAAATAGTTTTACCGCATTACACTACTCCTGCAATCTACTCGGGACCGAGGTGAAACTGCGGGCGTGCGTTGTGAACGACGGAGACAATTTTAGCGATGTTCCAATGTATTTTTGTCTAGATAATAAAGGTAATCAGTAATAGTAATCGGTTAATAGTTAATAATTTAATAATAGTAATAGTTAGTAATCGGCAACAGTAATAAAGGTAGTATGCTCGTAGAAACTTGTTCTTTAATGCTAGGGGCACACGAGCGTATTTTATCGCCCGATCGCGGCGATTAAAATCGCCAGCGAATTTAATCGCCCGATCACGAAGGGGCACACGTAGCGAATTTAATCGCCCGATCACGAAGGGGCACACGTAGCGAATTTAATCGCCCGATTTTAACATCACATGATATCAACAACACGTCCGATTGGTTTAGAAAAATCGATCGGGCGACAAAATACGCCGGACACGGGCACACGAGCGAATTTGCCAGCGTAAATAATCGCCCGAAAATATCTAACATTTTGGATACGGGCTATTCGTGCGAGCGATTAAAATCGGCGTCGACGTGAACGGGCACACGGGCGAATTTTTCGAGCGATTTTAAAATTCGCGGCGATCGGGCGATAAAAATCGCTCGTGTGCCCCTACCTTAAGTAACGAACCTAAAATCGGGTTGTTAACGATCCTCGTTTCTTTTGTTCACACAGATAATTACTCACCTCTTGAAACACGGAGCTGACCCGAACCTCGTTGATTGTAACAAGAGAACGCCGCTCGCTATAATAGGGAGCCAGGCGGAGGGGAGAAGCCACAGAATGAGTGAGCGAGCAGCAAAAGCAGCACCAGCAGCACAAGCGGCGTCAGTGGTACAAGAGGCGTCAGCTCTCCTACAGACGTGCGAGTCCGCCGGCGTACTTCTACAGGTTAACACACGCGACAGTGAGGGCGACACCCCGCTGCACAGCTTCTGTAGGGCGATGCTCGCAGGCAGAGAGGGAGGGGAGGGGTACGTGCAAATAGTGCACGCGCTGCTGTTCAACCACGGTGCACACGTCGACGTGGTGAACGCACGGGGAGAGACGCCGTACGAACTCTGGCGCCGGATTTATCCGACGCGTTTCCTCCTCGGCAACATGGAGTCGAGCAACGAGATAGATGGCAGAATGAACGCGCAGTATCATTTGCTGCAGTGCCACTGCGCGCGCGTTATCGTCAGACACAGCGTTGCATACGATAACAGGCTGCCTGCGCCTCTCATAGAATTTGTCAGGGCACACGCGCGACCAACGTAGGTGACACTAAGCGTGTTAACCAAGGAAGCCCATGTAGGATCGGAGATGCGATAACCCAGAAGATATTATCAATACTTTGTAGATCTTTGTTCTAATTGTTGCACGTGTTGGCAGACGTGTTTCATTGCAATGTAAAATCGAGTATATGTAGTAACACTATTCAGTTTATATAGAAATGTGTAGATTATCGGTATGATGCCTTG